TGGGCACGGTGGCTCAGGTCTGTAATCCCAGCATTTTGGGAGGCCAAGCCAGGTGGATCACCTGAGGTCAGGAGTTCAAGACGAGCCTGGCCAACATGGTGAAACCCTGTCTCTAATAAAAATGCAAAAATTAGCTGGGTGTGGTGGCACATGCCTGTACTCCCAGCTACTCAGGAGGCTGAGGCAGAAGAATCGCTTGAACCCAGGAGGCAGAGGTTGCAGTGAGCCGAGATGGTGCCACTGCACTCCAGCCTGGGCAACACTGGGACCTTCACCAAAGTCTTCTCTAACTGCCACCATGTCTCCGCCCCAGAGGGTACTGTGGGGGCCCCTCATGGGCTCTTCTTAGGCCCAGGCCAAATGACCAAGCTCCCACCCCAGCATCCCCCGTTTTTCCTCACTTTGGCCACAGGACTCAGCCTGGTTTTCTTCTCCTAAGTTGCTGCTTCTAACCAACTGTTATGTGCCATAGGGATCCTTCCATCCCAGATCAAATGCAGGGTGAGGATGGTCTCCCTGACCTCACGTCTTCTTGCTGCCTGCAGATAAGCTCCCAATCCTTTACTCTTCCATGAGTTGTGGTGTTTTTTTTTTTTTCATAAGTTTTTGGGGTACAGGTGGTATTTGGTTACATGTCATGAGGTGTTTTGTTTTGTTTTGTTTTGTTTTTTGTTTTAAATGGAGTTTCACTCTGTTGCCCAGGCTGGAGTGCAGTGGCATGATTTCAGCTCACTGCAACCTCCCCCTTCCAGGTTCAAGAGATTCTCCTGCCTCGGCCTCCTGAGTAGCTGGGATTACAGGCGCCTGCCACCACACCTGGCTAATTTTTTGTATGTTTAGTAGAGACGGGGGTTTCATCATGTTGGCCAGGCTGGTCCGGAACTCCTGACATCAGATGATCCACCAGTCTCGGCCTCCCAAAGTGCTGGGATTATAGGCGTGAGCCACTGTGCCCAGCCTCAAGAGTTTTTAATAATAAAAATGAAAGTAACAAACATGGCAAACTTCTCAAACAAACATGGCAGTGCCCTGATTGAGACATCATTCTCCTTCAAGACGGAAAAATGTTGCCAAGTCCTTACAGTCATTGTCTCAGGTTCACAGTTTGGGGTTGGCTTGCTTACCTATGACTCAGAAGCCTGATGGTCCAGTTAAGGAAAGGGAGGCCCTTGGCTTCTCTAGAGCCCCTGCTGGGTAGCATTCATTTCAAAGATCCTACCTAATGTGGGAACA